TTTCTTCTTTCCAAAACTCTCTACTCCTGGGAACTCTTCTGTCCTCTGCCTTCCCTATATTTCCGGTCTTTCTAATCTCAACAACTCTCTCAGTTCCTTAGACATCAAGCTTACTTTCCGCCAGACTAACACTCTTCGCACCAATCAAATTCATACCTCTCCTTCCTCTACTGATGCTCCTGGTGTCTACTCTATTTCTTACTCCTGCCCTCTTCAATACTTTGGAGAAACTGGCCGATCTCTTTCTGACAGACTTAGGGAGCACAAAAGTAGTGTTAGGCTTGCCGACACTAGTGATGCTCTTTTCTGTCACGTCAGAGATCATAGTCATCGTATTGACTGGTCTTCTGCTAAAACTGTCTTCCCTACTTCCAACTTTAACAGTCGCCGTCTGGTTGAATTCTCCCTAATACACAACTTTCCTTGTATGAATCTTAGTCCTGGCTTCGTCTCTGTAGATGCCTTCCTCTCCCACTACAATGTAAAATGCTCCAAACTTCAGAACACCCGTGACTTATTGTACAAGAATGGTATACAATACCAACAAGATGAAATTAAGACACATGTGCAACATCTGGGTATCTTTATTGTAGACGTTTCGCCATCCAGTGGCTTTATCAATACAAATTCTAGGAATTTGTATTGATGAAGCCACTGGATGGCGAAACGTCTACAATAAAGTTACCCAGATGTTGCACATGTGTCTTAATTTTACCCGTGACTTAACCTCCTTTTTCTTCTTCTTCCTCTTCCCTTTCCTCTTTCCTTTTTCTCCTCTGGGTTGTCTTTCTTCTGCCTTGTGTTTTTATTCCTTCATTTATTTTTTTACCATCCCCCCCCCCTCTGTGTTCTTGCTCTTACCCTCTATGGGCATCTAACTACCTTGCATTGCTCCTCTTTCTTAGTATTTGACTGGCTCCTCCTCCTTCTTACTTCTCCACTACTACTTCCTTCCACCTCCACTACTACTACTACCACCACTACGACTACTACTACTACTACCACTACCACTTCCAGCCTATATATACCCTTCCTGTTCTACTTTCCGTTAGTGTGACTTTGTTTATGATCCAAGTCGGACCGAAACGTCGTCGTAAGCTCCTCTCTTCTATGTGCGGGTTATTTGTGTTTCATCACATCTATTGAACCGGGGCAACTACATGAGGTGTGGAAGACAGCAAATGTAGTCCCAGTCTTTACCAATCTTTACCAGTGTCACTGACATGTATAGTATAGGAAGTCAAGAAAGGATTGGTAGAACGATAGCCAGCACGATGTCACAAACCTACTGGAGTTTTACGACAAGGTGACAGAAGTAAAGCAGGAGAGATAGTGCTGCACTGTAAGAAGGCTTTCGATACAGTTCCGCGTATGCATATGCATACGTGGAACTCTGATCGATTATAGTGCCTCATATTGCCTTTCCTGCTCCTCTAGCTTTTGCTAGAGAAGCAGGAAAGGCACTATAAGGCACTATAATGGATCAGAGAATAACTGACAGGAAGGAAACAACGACTGATGTCACGTGACAAAGTGTCAGAATGGGCGCCTGTGCCGAGTGGGATTCCACAAGGGTCAGTCCTAGTGTCGTTGCTGTTTCTGGTATATGTAAATGACATGACGGAAGAGATAGATTCAGAGGTGTGCCTGTTTGCAGATATTATGAAGCTAATCCAGAGAATTCAAGTGGATGAGGATCAGGTATGACTACAAAGGGATATGGACAGGCTGCAATCCTGGTTCAACAACTGGCTCCTGGAGTTTAACCTCACTAAGTATAAAGTTATGAATATTGAAGAAGGTCAACGAAGACCACACAGAATATAGGCTAGTGGGACAGTGACTGCAAACTTCACTCAAGGAAAAGTATCAGACCCATACTGGAGCATGCAACACACCAGTATAGAACCCACGCCTGGTCAAGCACGTTAAGAAATTAGAGAAAGTGCAAAGGTTTGCAACAAAACTAGTCCTGGAACTAAGGAGTATATCCTACAAGGAGAGGTTAAGGGAAATCAGCCTGATAACACTGGAGGACATGAGGGATAGGGGAGATATGATAGCGACGAGTAAAATACTGATAGCACTGACAAGGTGGATTGGAACAGGATGTTTCAGAGATAGGATACAGGAACAAGGGGTCACAACTAGTAGTTAAAAACTTAGATAAGTCACAGGGATGTTAGGAGGTATTTCTTCAGTCACAGAGTTGTCAGCAAGTGCAACAATCTGGAGAGTAATGTAGTGCAGGCAGGATCCACACATGGGTTTAAGAAGAGATACGATGAAGCTAATGCAGCAGGGACAGAGTGGACCTAGAAGTTACCAGCAAAGAGGCGGAACCAGGAGCTATGATTCGACCCCTGTAACCTCAAATTGGTGAGTATATGCATACATAGGCGAGCACACACACACACACACATACACACACATACACACACCACCACACACACACACACACACACACACACACACACACACAGTAGGCGGGGCCAGGAGCTGAGTCTTGACCCCTGCAACCACGAATAGGTGAGTGAGGACAAGCACACTATAGACAAGTGCCTCTGACAACTAGTAACTTACACAACAGGCCAAATGTCCATCGACAAGTGTCTTTGACAACTAGTAACTAGCTAACGTGAAGAAAAATCATAGCATGAGAAAGATGGAAGCAACTAGCCTTCAAAACAGGATACTACAGAAGAATAAGAGAATACCTAAAAACAATGGACTGAGAAAGGAACCAAAAGGAAAAACAACAAACTAAATAATATAATAATGTATCTGTGTCTGAAAGTGTCTCGAAGAGGAGGAGACATGCGTATCCAATAGCAGAGGAACAATGGTCAGTGAACAACGTTCCCATGGTTCTATCACCAATGGAGAGAGGCAAAAGCTAATAGCGCAATAACTTTGAAAAAAAAATAAGCAAGAAACAACGGCAAACAAGGAAACGAGCATAATAGCCAGATAAGCAAGGGTAAGAAGTAAGACTGAGAGGCAACAAGAGAAAGACCTGAGTCACATATGAACCATAGATGATGCACAGCCACAGAAGAAGGAAAACAACAGTAGAAAACTGAATAATAATAATGATGAAAGAAGGAGAAGTATGCAGCGACCAGTCTGCGAGGAGCTGAGCAAAAAGAAAGGAAAAAAAAAAACTGGACATAATAGATGCAACAGGAGACGAGCTGAAGAAACTACTGAGTGAGTTACATGACCTCGTAGGCAGTTTGACTACACGATATCTCTTCATGGATCCTGAAAGAGGGAGCAAAAACGGTGGGTATACTGCTAAGTTGAAACCGGACAGCTGTCAGGAAAGGGATAGACAGACTGTATTAAACTTCAGACCAATCTCATTGACATGCGTAGTATGTAAGGTTATGGAGAGAAAAATCAGAAGAGTTGTAGTACATCTCGACAGGAGCGAGTACATAAACAACAGCCTGCACTGTTTTACAGGTAGAAAACTCGGTCTCACAAACCTACCAGAGTTCTATGGCAAAATAAAAAAAATAAAAATGAGAGAGGGATTCGTGGACCGTATTTTTCTGAACTGTGAGATGACTTTTGACATCGTACAGCACAACATATTGGGACAATAGAGGAGCCAGCAGAAATAATAGGAATGAAATTGGTTTAAGCAGAAATTGGTTTAAGTACTACCGAACAGGAAGGAAACAAATGAAGGTTGTTTGCAAAGAAGTGTCAAAACTGGGCCAGTGTGACATATGGTGCTTCACAAGCATTAGCACTGCGGCTGGTATTGTTTCTACCGTACGTGACCATGATACTGGAGTAGATAGTCTGGCATATTCCTTCTTGCAGATAATGTGAGACTAATAAATATAAAATAGCAGGGGAGGACAAGGAAAGGCTACAATCGGACCAAGACAAGATTCAGGATTTGTCTGACAAATGATTATTGGAATTCAACCCCAGTACATGAAAGTTTATGAAAACAGGGATCGAAGGTTATGAAAATTAATGAAGATTAGTTTTCATGTCACTATAAACAGCATATGTCAGGCCCATCCTAGAGTATGCAACACTAGTATGGAATCCACACTTGATCAAGCATGTAAAGAAATTTGATGAAGTGCAGAACCAGAGAATGGAGCTCTGAGCAGAGCAAAAATAGATAAACCTAATAACATTAGAGAACAGAAAAATTAAGGAAAACATGATAACCATGTACAAAATATTGAGAGGAATTGATATGGTGGTTAAGAAGAGGCTGTTGGAGAAGTGGGAGGCAGGAAAACACGAGGACACTGCCTGAGGTTAAAATCACAGTTGAGTCATGGGATGTTAAGAAATATTCCATGATCCTAAGAGTGGTTTGGAAGAAGAATGATCAGGACGTTAAGAGTAAAGAAGGGAAATCAATTCGCAGCTTTAAGAATAGGTATGATAAGTATCACAAATAATATAAGCCTAGAATTTTTCGAGAGAGAGCAAAGGCGCTTTGTAAACCGTTACCTAAAACCTTCAAGTCAATGGATATGAGACAGCTGCCAAGTATGATGAAATAAGGGAAAAAAAGATCAATATTAGACAATAACGGCATACAAAATAAGGACCTGACAGAAGAGAAACTGACACACACAAGCACAGTTGAAGTTAAAGACAATCTGTTTCTCTCTCTCTCTCTTTCTCACGCACACACACACACATACACGAACTTTCTCTTTCTTTCTCCCACACATACACGAGCTCTCTCTTTTTCTCACACACACACGCTCTATCTCTCTTTTTTCTCACGCACACACGCTCGCTCGCTCTCTCTCTCTTTTTCTCACGCACACACGCTCGCTCTCTCTCTCTCTCTCTCTCTCTCTCTCTCTCTCTCTCTCTCTCTCTCTCTCTCTCTCTCTCTCTCTCTCTCTCTCTCTCTCTCTCTCTCTCTCTCTCTCTCTCTCTCTCTCTCTCTCTCTCTCTCTCTCTCCTCTCTCTCTCTCTCTCTCTCTCTCTCTCTGGCTCGCACCACTTACCTGGTAATTAGCTAGGGAGCAGAGGTGTTGGGTCCTGGGTAATGTAGCGTAGGCTGTGGGCAGCGAGGCTGAGCTGATTGTGTTGACACCATCCACCACCCACGACTCTGCCTCTGTCAATATGTGAGGGTCATGTTGAGCATGTGATACCTATATGGCGGTTATGTAACATATGCGATAAACGTATATAGTGGTTTTTGTTGCGTATGTTGCACAGATGAAAGAATTGCCATAAATATGGGGGGGGGATGTTGCATATGTCGCTCATATCTGATTTATATAGTGAATATGTGGCACACGTTTTGGAGTTATGTGGTGTATATGGTGTGTTATGTTATGATTATGGCAGATATGTGGTAATTACACTGCGTTCTTGGCACACATGTAGTGACTCTATGCTACGTACGTGTAACATGTGTATAGTTAGGTTTCATATGTGGAATATACTGAATGCACTGCTTAAGCTACATGTACAGCACATATCTGCCGGTTATACTGCGTTCTTGACATAAGTGTTGAGTTAACTGTTGATGGAGTACAGATAGTTGATATGCTGCATATGCGGCACATATCTCTAACATTTTATCTATGTCACTCTCGTATAGTTTCTATGGTCATGTGTGATTATCGACATATTATACAGACAATCCCTGTTTAAGCAGAGCATTTCAGGTAACTTTCGTTAATTTTGTCCCACAGGACACGACCCACAACATTCGACTATCACCCAGTTATCTACTAACTGCTAGGTGAGCAGGGGAGGCAGGTATAAGGAAACATGCCTAACATTTCTTGCGCGTCAGGGATCGATTGCGGACTCTCAGTGTGTGAGCTGAGGACGCTACCAACCAAGTCACGAACCTATTGTGCAGGTTTACCACAACATGAAATATAATTATGGATTACAAGAAATCGATCTGCTTATCTTTAAGATTTAATTTTTAAGAGTACCAAAATTCAACTTAACCGTGTGCATAATTCAGGAGGTATGTAAAGTTTCTACATATAGCTCAATATATATATATATATATATATATATATATATATATATATATTTTATATATATATAATATATAATATATATATATATATATATAATATATATATATATATATATATATATATATATATATATATATATATATATATATATATAAATCCTTAGCTCAAGTACTTTCACGCTTCTCAGTGCGTCATCAGGAGCTGTGCAATGTTGCAAGGGAGCAACCAAAGCAGGGAGAGAGGTCTCAGAGTAGCGTAGGTTTCACCGTCCACGGTTACCCTTAGCCTGTGATTAGTGGACGGTGCCAGCTCCACCCTACCTTCATCCCCCTAGTCCACACATGGGGTAGGAGGGTTTTTGAGATGTCAAGTATGAAACTATAAAATATATCTCACAAACCCTCCTACCCCATGTGTGGAGTAGGGAGATGATGGCAGGGTGGGGCTGGCACCGACCACTAACTACAGTCTAAGGGTAAGCGTGGACTGTGACACCTACGCTACTCTGAGACCTCTCTCCCTGCTTTGGATGCTCCCTTGCAACATTGCACAGCTCTTGATGACGCACTGATGACGTGGCTTGTCTTGTATAGTTAAGCTCGCCCGTCTGCGATTGTTTGTGTGTGTGTGTGTGTATATATATATATATATATATTATATATATTATATATATATATATGTGTGTGTGTGTGTGTGTGTGTGTGTGTGTGTGTGTGTGTGTGTGTGTGTGTGTGTGTGTGTGTGTGTGTGTGTGTGTGTGTGTTGTGTGTGTGTGTCGTGTGTGGGTGGGTGTGTGCGTGTGTGGGTGGGTGTGTATGTGTGTGTAAACCCTATGAATTTTAGAGCTCCAAGTAAGAGTGCTTTTTGGCATCCGTGGTCCAGCGGTACTAACCCTGACTTGCACCTGTATGATAGAAAGATTTGCAGTGGATTTGATACTCTCACTGAATCCATTTCATCTGCTATACGTTATTGTGGAAGATGTAACAGGTGTGTATCACTGATGTAAGGTGATAGCAGTGCCTTATGGATTGTACAGGTTTCGTTCCTGTCCTCTAGGTGTTTATTTCTAACCAGTGATAATACTTTCTCGATGAAATTCTTATTGAGTCTGATATCTGTTGCAATATCAAAGATTCCATTGAAATATTCACTAAGATTTAATGGACCGAAAATTCTGAGTCGTTTGAAACGTTGTTTCACGATTAAAATAATAATGCACTCTTTGCGGAAGCTAAAACATCTCAATATTCAGCATTCATCTCAATCGCAAAGGTAAAGCTGGTCAATTTGCTTCATATATATTCTGTGTGATTATTAACCTGCCACGGACACAAAACGTCGTCCACAAATCTATACCATCAGGTATTAATAGGTAAAATGCTGCTCAAATGTCTTGTTTCAAAGAACCGTACTGGTCGGAGATTTCTTAGTGCTCTGATGCAAGTGTTATTATGTATGACTTTTACGAGTTTAGCTCTACCACATAACACCAACAACAACAATAATAATAATAATAATAATAATTAATAATAAATAATAAGAATCGTACTGACCTGGCTGAGGAATAACATCTGGGTTCTTCTCATCAGAATGAGGTGAAGATGCTGGTGGTGGTGGGATGGTGTCAGTGTCGGTGGCTGGAGGAATCTTGGAGTGGCAGACGGTGTTGCAAGTGTCGTCTTGACCACCCGTTGCTACCTCCTGCACCGTACCTCGCCTGCACAGGCCTCTCCCTTGCCTGGACTGCCCTCTGCCTCGCCTGCTGTGGTAGCGCAGCCTGAGGACGGCGCAGATGGCGATGGTCAGCAGCAGAAGGCCGCCGACCGTCCCTAGCACCAGGGCTATAATAAGTGTCATGCTGAGTTGTGCTGACGACTTGCCATGTGTGGGTAGGGGCTTGACAGCCGCTGTCAGGGACACCAAGATATATCTCAGCAGTGGTCTACAGATTCGTGGTTATTATTGCTTTTTTCATATTTGCAGGGAACAAGTTCACCAATCATTTCAAACCATCCCTACTTCCTTTCCTACTCTCGTCACTCTTTCTTTTCACCAATTTCCGGCTCTCTCCTCATTCTAATATGTATGAGTTTTTGTTGTTGTTGTTGTTTTCAGCATATAATTTGTGCCTAAATAACATAAAAATTCAGCATTTTCTCAAAATAGAATTTTTTTTAACCACTCTGTCCAACACCTCAAGACTTAGCGCACGTAATTAAAAATAATAATTATACATGAAACCTGAAAATCGGTTTGCTAATTCGGTTTTCATATTCAATCCCTCTCCTTTATGTTCCTCTCAACTCCAAGTGCATACATAATGAGTATTATCTACTGGAGCAATACCGCTTTCATTTTGAAATACAAAGCTGTCGATAAGAAAAATTTACTTTTGTTTTTTACTGATTTTTCAACGCTACCGTCACACGTATCAGTTCTCCGTTAACTCCTTTCCAGTAAATCTCTTCCAGTCCTGTTGCCTCGTTCACACAACACTGCCATATCTAGGGCTTAGCAATCAGTAATTAGAAAGTGACGTACTGAGAATCTTTCATGTGAGACTCCCGCCATGTTACTGAATACAGAGTGATTATGAGCAGAAAATGATATGGACAGAAGTTTATATGTTCATCTCTCTGAGTGTATGCACGGTTATTAAGAGAACTTAGACCGTTGTCGAGAATTAAAATGAACATGTGAATCTCTCAGTTGCCTTTCATTGTGTTTATGATGTTTAAGAGGGATTAACAGTAATGTGGGTATTAACTTACCTGTGCGTCTTTCAGCCATGTCTTTGAGTGTATACACCTGAAGACTGATCTTCTCACTGCTACCTTTTCCATTAGTTGAGTAGACCACCCCCAGGAAGGCCAAACCCGGAGGTAGACCACCCACGGAAAATGTCGGCACCTGTGTGCACGGGTAAAACATATAAGTTTTGAATGAATGTCTGGAATCGATCGTCAGAATGTTCCACGACAACCTGTCAGATACGCTACAGATACCTTAACTCACTTACCTCACTCATGATCAGAGTTATTTGGTTGAACTCTGTTTTCCACCATATATAGCCTATATACATTAAGATCGCACCAAATTCTTCACATTCATGCCTTGAAATATTGTAAGATACAGAGGGAATCAGGAGAATTTCATGTGTAAATTTACCAGTTTTCTCATATTTACATTTGTCAACAAAAACCTTCAAAAACGAACAGTCGAATTTCCCAACTCTGGCTATATTTTGTAATCATCTGAACCTTATCCTATGGTTACATACTATGAAAGTTTATCTCTCTTGTGCAGTGAAATTCCCTACTCTTCAGAATATGTTTATTCTTCACTATACTATGCAAAATCTCATGCTTATTTCTACACAAGGGACACCATATGCTCGTTGTAAATCCTTCATGCGCCTTCCCACAAAATGTCTTACGCCAAAATATTTCCTCCTTTCCTTCATCTTTTTGCTAGGTAATTCTTACTATCATTATTTGTTCTAGGGTGCATTATGTGATTCAGGAGGAGACCTGACAGTCTTTCCTCACGCCCCAGCTTCTCCATGTCTTGAACATCGGAGTGCCAGTTCACATAGATCTCGTGATTAGATATTTTCATCTGCTTGTCTTCTACCGCGTTAGAATACTCTTGGACTGATTAATAATGTTTTACGATAGTGAAAAATTCGCCATTCTTGTGACCTCCGTTTCTTACATCCGACTTCTACGCTGATGACGTTGGCAACTTGAATATACAGAGTGAGTACCTCATGCTTCTCTCCTGCTATTCCCCCTGACCTTACTTCTACGGACTAGTTATTGCAACTCATCATAACATGCCACAAGCTATAGTTATCATTTATCACAAATTAGACAAATATCTCAACATATGCTTTATTCCTGATGATCTCCCGACATTGCTCAATTAGTTTTTCTGAAACATGTCGCCTGAGGCTACTACCATTACAGTCACTGCTACACCATTGCAACAATGTTATCTGGCTTACAAACACGAGAGCGAACGCGAGTTGCTCTATGCGAATAACCACACCAGCATGTTGCCTAGTTTACATCTCCACAGAAAACACCCCCACATCTATGTATGAATAAGTGTCAAAGTTAGCAGGCAAGTTTTGTTAGTTGTGCCGCCTGAGCGGTTAGTTTATTGTGCATAAAATGCTCAACCTGACAGCTGTAGCGCAAAGAGTAGGATTACAGATGGCACGGAGCATTGTTACATCACCAGAAAGAAATATTAGTCATTTCATCTATTACAATTACTTGATGTAGTTTATATAAACAATACACTAAACTTAGATCATAATTGGGTTACATTCTTCTTTACGAAACCAGTTCATTCATCTAGTCGTTAAAAAATATGGATACAACCTCAAGTATTCACATATCTTATGATAAACAACGAGGTGTTTTGCCATATTCTGTGAGGTTTGCTTGGTGGTGTCTCGGAAAGGCTGGATGTTTGGACACACTAATATATAATGCTCCTGTTTAAGGCCCTGTCCACACACTTTGCATTTTATGTCATTGACGTCTCTTTATAAACCAAAGTTACTTATTGTCTACCCTTAGTCTGTCAGTAACAACATATTGCAATCTACTGACCTTCTCACTTTCACTATAGATGTATTTAACTTGAAACATTTCGTTATAATAGACAATGGATCTGGTAGTTATTATCTATTCTACTTTCTTCAAACTTGTTTGCTACTCCTTTCTGACAATATTTTGCAAACTTCTGTTTGAAAAACAAAAGTATGCTCAACATTCTTTTTATTTAATGTTTGTTTACCTAATTCATCAACTTTGTCTTGCTAATGGAGGTCTACGTGAGAGGGAATCCAGAAAAGCTTGACTGTAATCCCTTATTACACAAACAAGCTACATTCAGGTCTCAGTCTGTTTAGAGCAAGTAATGAGGACATAGAGTCAGCTAATTATACTGTCTGAGGCAGTAGTTCCCACAAGCTTGAGAGCAACAAGCATAACAAACAGCTCAGTTTATGTAGTGAAAGCCCAATAATTAATTCTAATACATATCGGTATTATAATACCATCAGGCTGGTTAACGATAACAGTACACAAGTACACAAGTGATCCAGCCGGCCTCCATTCTCACAGTGATGGGCAAATCCCTAGCAAACCTGTTGACTCTGCAGAAACAAATGGACGTCACTTGGCTCGTGTTTTCCGTTGGCCACATTTATCTCCCATTTTTCTTCCGACTAAAATCGTGTTGGAGTCCAACCAAATAAACGTTGTTTCTCATATTGATGAATGGTGTCCCGTAGCTCAGTTGGCAGTGCACTGTGCTCATATACTGAGTGTCCGTGGCTCGATCCCCGGCATAGGTGGAAACGTTAAGCATGTTTCCTTACACCTTCTGCCTCTGTTCTTCTAGGAGCCAATAGGTACCTGAGTATTAGCCGACTGCTGTAAGTCGCGTCCCTGGGTGGTAGTATATCTTAGATATACCTGGGCGTTGAAATGTGCTGAGGTAGGATAACATCTCTTAGACTGTAAAACTGATGTGAAAAAAATTATAACATCCTCTTTATGTTACTCAGACTAGCGTCATCACTATCTGGGTGCGAGTTTACGTAAGCTGGGACTGATTATACACATGCTCATTTGTTTTACCTGGAGGAGTCTACCTGGAGGGCATTCCGGGGATCAACGTCCCCTCGGCCCGGTCCACGACCAGGCCTCCCGGTGGATCAGGGCCTGATCAACGAGGCTGTTACTGCTGGCCGCACGTAATCCAACGTACGAACCACAGCCCGGCTGATCCGGCACCGTCTTGAGGTATCTGTCCAGCTCCCTCTTGAAGACAACTAGGGGTCTTCCCGTAATGCCCCTTATTGCTGGTGGGAGGCTGTTGAACAGTCTTGGGCCCCGGACACTTATTGTGTTTTCTCTTAGTGTACCAGTGACGCCCCTACTTTTCACTGGGGGTATGTTTTAACTTCCATTCTTAAGCACTCGACTTCCTATTACACCTCTTCCTCTAGATGTGGAGTAAAGGAATTTTGCTTCATTAGTAGAAGACTGTAATGGTTCTCACTTTTCGAAAATCAGGCACATTATCACGTAACACTTACCATTATAGACTCATCGCTCTTAACTGGTCTATTTGTAAATTGTTACAAAGGTTAGTTAACAATAAACTTACGTGGTACTTGGGTACCAGAAACTACTGAAGAACAGTCCGAAAATACCAAGCCAGTGGTAGTGGTAAAAGCCACTATCATTTGTGTTAATGAGATGTCGAGATCCACTGATACGATTTCGATGGATATGAGGTGGATGTATCTGGGATATTCGTTCATAAAACCTTATATTTGTGTATACAGTGGGGTCCATGATAACCTTCCAATTGCATGTAAATGTATCCAGTAAGATGTGGTGGTGGTAAGAGCATTAGATTAGTTACTTTAGGATTGTCTTGCAAGGGTCGAGTGACATGCCCGAAACAGTATGTCCCTAAATCAGTGTCCCTAAATCAGAAAGGGCCGTTTCATCATCGACCCCTGACAACATCTGCATACAAATGTCTTTGCTGGAATTAAACATTTCCGTTTAATGTTGTTCCTGGTTCTTTCCTCTGGCCCACGAGGCTAATTACCCGTTTCTTCTAAGCATACCTAACAGAGAGTAAGTTTAGTGTTTGAATAAAAAACATTTTTTTCCCCTCACTTTGCGAAAATTGAAGTTGTATCTCTGGTGTCTTGTCATTCGCGACAGATTATTTTGTTATTGTTTCCGCTGGTACGGACTCGGTGCTCGTAAGGACATCACTCCAATGTGAAATTGATCACATTTCGAACTAGGCTGACTAATATGTTTTGAAGTTTTCAGTAAATGAAATAAACTCAGTATCTCACATGTGATCCAATAGCATTCCGAATCCCATTATATAATATCTACATGGTATGCCTATCCCAGTAGGCAATACGGTAAAAAAATTTCGGCTTTCTCTTTGACTAATAAGTCAAATACATTCCTAGTGTTGTACACTAGGAATTTTTAGTAATGAAATGTTTCGCATGCGCAGTAGGCTTCACCAGTCTAACACCGGAGCGTTGATGAAAGACGAAATAGAAGTGGAGAGATAGTTTGATGTAATCAATCCATCACCCTAGGTGCAAGGTGACAAGTATCTTAGCCTAAAATGGTAGAATGTAGCCAAAGGACTTATTGACAGGATGGTGAGGTGTAGCAGCTTGGAGGTTGAAGTCACAGGCGAGCTGAATCCGCTAGTGGAAGTAGGTCATGCTCAACGGTTGTTAGCAAAAGAATTGCGGAAGACGCCCTTATACCAAGATAATAAGGTGTCGCAGCGCTAAACAAGCATCACATAAACGGTAAACGATACCAACAAGTTGAAAAGTAAGATACATGGACAACACTAGGAATCTTTATTGACGATACGTTTTGCCTGCGCAGCAGGCGACACATTCTAATACAGAAGACATCAGCGTTGATGGAAGATGAAGTGGACAAAAATGGAGAGGTAATTGGTTTCTCTTTGATTGTCGATTGTGGTGACTGTCTCACATAGATTCTCTAAAAGCTGCATGTCTTAGTATACAATAATCTCACTTGGCAAGGAGCAGGACGTGAATTTAAGACGGAGGATCAAGTCTCCACTACTCTGTGTGCTGAATGATAATCCGAGAACTTAAATATTAGGCAGGTTTTTCTTAGGTGGCAATTGGTAAACCCTTCGTTAAATGCACTAAGACTAAACCCTAGAGTCTATCTAGACTTGACTATGGGGATCCAGCATGTTTCTCGGTTTCCTAAGTAACTACATGTATATCTGAACCTAATTTAATTTATTATCAGGAATTTTGTTTCTGAGTGTTTTGGTCTTTCACACTTGACCCTGAATGTAAATTCATTCTTCTCATCTTGGCACGATCGCCGTGATGCCTCTTCAATATTCAATTTGCTTCCATTATCTTCACAAATCAAACTGGACTACGTATAATTACTGATATTAATAAAGCCTTTAACCACTGTCTTCATTCATACTTGTTTAATATCTATGTTCATAACATTCTTTAATTTATCCTACTTCCTTTTCATTCCTTCTATATGTTTCGTTTCCCTTCCCTCCTTGGGAAATACTTGTAAGGCAGGTTTTTGCTTTCCCTATCAATAGCTACCCAAGACCAATTACTTTGAATCACATCAGTCTCTTTATTCACTGGCGTTGCAGAAAACCAAGATAAGTTATAAAGGATCTGGAATATTCAGCTGTTCGTTCTGTGTTCTAGATAACAAGGAGGTACCTTGTCAGTGCCTTCGAGACTGCTAGCAAAAGAGAAAAGTGAATATCAACCAATTTTACATCATACCACAACTGTGTTCTTGGCCTTCTGCCTTCAGCAGTGTCGGGTATGGAAAACGTGGTTTCGTACTGGACATATATCTCACGCCCCGGACATCTCACGGAGAGACGTCCAACGCCTCAGCAAATGCAAGAACATAATGTGTTATGAGTTCAATATCTATTAATAAACTGTCTAATATTTCAGAAAGAGCACAGACTTCACCGTCGACGCATTTCTCAACGCCTACCATTACAGTAAACTCGCTGCATTGTTTTAAAATAAGATTAACCCTGAATACATAGAACAAGCTTTATTGAGACTTCTTTTCACTCAGAATTAAGCTTTGAGAAATATAATCCCATTAAAAGTTTTTATTCTGGATATTGTCTTCATGCCTCTACCAACCGTTACTCCCATTCAGCACTCCCACTAACCCTCTGCTCCTCTAATTCCTACTGAATTGGCTTATCTTAAGCAACAGTGTATGACCTGAACGGGTTTAACAAAACAAATACTGAGAAAGATTGAGAGACAGGTAGGTATAAGAGAGAGAAAGTGAACTGATGACAACATACAAGGGATTCTGGATGGAAAGACAATTGGGAAAAAAATACTAATGTCACTGATGATTTACGGATTTGAAATGGCTGAAGTTGAGTCTCGAGGAACGTGATCGGAGAATGAAGAAAACAAGAGATTTTACGGATCACTGAGCATACAGGAGAGAATAAATTAGAACAGATAGAAGATTTTTGAAAGGATCAGGAAAAGTGAAGATATTCCCAGGACAAACAAAGCCAAATCACGCTAACCTCCAGGGCAGAAGAAACTGAAAGCAAGTTCTTGAGACATAAAAAAAAAAATGAATTTTTGAGGAATATGACTTGATATCACCGTGTATACATGGACCAGGACAGAATAAAAAATGCGGGAGATTGATTGAGTGAGCATGTACAAAATCGAGAAACACGGAAAGGAGGAGCAGGGAAGGGTAGGGAGGAGGAGGGAGAGAAGAGAAGGAAGTATCCATTTACCAGAAATCTTTCAATTGTACCCGTGGTGTCCACTCTTTGCAGATTCATCCACTCTTTTTTCTCCTTCCCTTCCCCTAATTTATAGCTATAACCATAACCACCCCCAGTTTTCCTTATAATTGGACAATGAACACAACAAGAATGATGAAATGAAAGAATAAATAACAGAGGCAATCCAAGACATCATAGCTCTTATAGAAGTAAAACTAAATGAAATGTTAACCAATTTTACATTCTAAAGAAGAATAAACAGGAAGTGGAATGACTTATATATAAAAACAGAGAAGGGAAGCTTTATACATAATTTTAATAATAGGCATGACAGGACCCACGAGGCTGGGAGGGAGTAATCCCAGCAAGAAGCAAGAGGGAGAGCGAGGAGCTGAGACTTAAATTCTACAAATACAAACACGAGACTACAGTTAAGTGTTACACACACATACTCAATCACTCACCGAGTTGGTTGTATTTGCTAGGAGAGTGCTGGTGTGAGGCTGGTACAACTCCAGGATGAAGGTCTGTGGCAGGCCGCCGTCGAATCCTGCTACACAACGCACGTGCACCACTTCCACGGACAGATTGTACATGGAACAGTTGTGCACGGGGTCAGGTTTTCCTGCAGGGAAGTTAGGTAAGGAGCGGGAAAAACATCATGTTAACGCCTATGACTAAATTTGAGGGAAATACCAGCGTGGTGGGGCTTGGAGGCGGTCTGCAGCGCTTGTCATAAATGAACTTTTAAAACCAATATGCATATAAATAACTTAATTCATTTAATATTTCATAGACGCATAAATTGAAATAATTCAAATCAAATCACTCAGGGAAATGTATTTGAAGTGGAAATTTACTCAGAATCACAAAACAGAATGTCATTATGTTCACTGGAAACTGCTAGACCCTTAGGAGTCATAGAGCACCTGGGGAATTTAGGATAATTAGGTCTGATTCATGGAAGTAAACTATTCTTTTTTAGTCGTCGTCGTCGTCGCCGTCTTCTTCTTCTTCTTCTTCTTCTTATTATTATTATTATTATTATTATTATTATTATTTATTATTATTATTATTATTATTATTATTATTATTATATTATTATTAGTAGCAGTAGTAGTATTTTTATTATTATTATTATTATTATTATTATTATTATTATTATTATTATTATTATTATTATTATTAAATATCCAAGAAAGAGTACCTTTAAAAAGTTGCCTGAATTTTATTTTTTTCGCTTGTTTTCTTTCAACTTTCGCTTTTATTTTGTCGTAACTAGAGAACGCCTCAGCCAATCGCCTTCAAATTTTCTACTCTCAGGTACAGTAAAGGGGACTAAATTCTTGGAACAACTGGCATGTTCACGACCTTATGGCCAAAGTTGCTCACTCTGTGGAGAAAATTCTCCAGTAAAGGGGGTATCTCTCAGCCCCCCTCAGCCCTCTAAGGGATGTAGCCCTCCCGGAAGGAACTAGTGGACTCTTCCTCGCAAACAACTTGATTGAACCCACATGTTCGTGCCAGTGTCATAAGACACTCTTTCCTCGTCTTGCTAGAGCTCACTGCAACTACACGGTGAGAGTTAAACGAGAGTAATTTCTCTTTCCTTTAGCAGGAAAATTAAGGGAAAACCGGCACCCACTTTATCTACAATTTGGGACTATTATCAATTGTAGTCTATAACTAGATAACAAGAAATCTACCTTCTTGTGTTGAATATTGTTGCGGTGTGTAGTAAGGAAAAGAAATCAAGCTGAGTTCAGCATATCCTTTGTGGGGACGACGAGGAGACCTCAGATTGCTTCATGGAAAGGACGAGAGACGTGTGTCATGAAGGCATTGCATCCTTATGGTTAAAAGACAAAGAGACGGTAGTGACTAGTGCGTTTTGACTCTTGCTCATTCTGACAATCTCAGGTAAGTAGAAAGTTAGACTACTTCCCTTAAATAAGCCAGGAAATTTGCGATAGAACTAATCTCATAGTGTTATTGCATATCCATGTTTTTCCTGTTGTGGGTAATACCATAAAACTATGAACAAATGATGGTAGTGAATGGTGAAGTGCAACTGGTATTGCGAGTGATTGGAACGAACATTCCCGGTGTAGTGGTAAGCATCAGTGCAACATTCCCGAGACACTCAAGTCTTTAGTTCAGTCAAGTCAATGATATCGGTCTTAATGAGGCAGTCAACCCCATAAGCTCACGTTACAAGAGCAAGTCAAGTCTTAATCTCTTGTAACGCCAATCAAAAACTGCAGTTTTGGGCAGACACAAAGTGATTAGAACTGTGCTATTCCAGGCCTTATTTATCTGTGGAGAATGCAGGTCGGAGGGGCATTTGAAATGTCAAGTCTGGACACTCTTGGCAAGAAAGCTGTTGAATGAATGATGGTGAACGTTTCGCTGTCCATGTGGTCACCTGACCTTCGTAGGAGACGGACATCCAGTTAGAAAGAGCGTCTTAAAATATTCTTCGTCAGTTTATTTTCGTGAAAGCTAAAATGTAACCAGTTTATTCGCAGAATCATAAATCAAGAAAGAATTCCTCTCTCATTTTCAAACACAATATTGTCCTACAGTTTTTGTCACAGAAATAGCCACTAGCTATACAATCTAGATTATTTTATATATACATATACACTTTGTTGCTTGTGGTGTGTGTACACTACAGTGGCAGATTTTAATTTCAGGTGTAAACTAGATATCGTAAATCAGTAGTATGTATTGTGAGTCAGTGAAGTTCTCGGTGGAACTGAAAGCCAATGGTGTTGTGAGTCAATGGTATTGTAAGTCAATGGTATTGAAGTCGGTGGTATTGTGAGTCAGTGGTATTGTGAGTCAGTGGTATAGTGAGTCAGTGGTATTGTGAGTCAGTGGTTTTAAAATCCAGTGTTATTGTGAGTCAGTGGTATTGTAAGTCAGTGGTTTTGAAAGAGTGGCATTGTGAGTCAGTGGCCCTGTGGGTCAGCGGTATTGTAAGCCAGTGTTATTGTGAGTGGTATTGTGAGTCAGTGGTATAGTGAGTGATTTGTGAGTGAGTGGTATTGTGAGTCAGTGGTACTGTGAGTCAGTGGTATAGTGAGTGATTTGTGAGTGAGTGGTATTGTGAGTCAGTGGTATTGTGAGTGAGTGGTATTGTGAGTCAGTGGTACTGTGAGTCAGTGGTATAGTGAGTGATTTGTGAGTGAGTGGTATTGTGAGTCAGTGGTACTGTGAGTCAGTGGTATTGTGAGTCAGTGGTACTGTGAGTCAGTGGTATAGTGAGTGATTTGTGAGTGAGTGGTATTGTGAGTCAGTGGTACTGTGAGTCAGTGGTATTGTGAGTCAGTGGTACTGTGAGTCAGTGGTATAGTGAGTCAGTGGTATAGTGAGTCAGTGGTATTGTGAGTCAGTGGTATTGTGAGTCAGTGGTACTGTGAGTCAGTGGTATTGTGAGTCAGTGGTACTGTGAGTCAGTGGTATAGTGAGTGATTTGTGAGTGAGTGGTATTGTGAGTCAGTGGTACTGTGAGTCAGTGGTATTGTGGGTCATATTCTGAGTCAGTGGTATTGTGAGTCAGTGGTATTGTGAGTCAGTGGTACTGTGAGTCAGTGGTATAGTGAGTCAAACATTTACTATTACATTACTCATACTACTACTACTACTACTACTGCTGCTACTACTACTACTACTAATACTACTACTACTGCTACTACTACTACTACTACTACTACTGCTGCTGCTACTACTACTACTACTACTACTGCTACTACTACTACTACTACTGCTGCTACTACTACTACTACTACTACTACTGCTACTGCTGCTGCTACTACTACTACTACTACTGCTGCTGCTACTACGACTACTACTACTACTACTACTACTTACTACTACTACTAAATACTACTACTACTACTACTGCTGCTGCTGCTACTACTACTACTACTCTACTACTACTACTACTACTACTGCTGCTACTACTTACTTACTGCTACTACTACTACTACTACTACTACTACTCTACTACTACTACTACTACTACTACTACTACTACTACTACTACTACTACTGCTGCTGCTGCTACTACTACTACTACTACTACTGCTGCTACTACTACTACTACTACTACTGCTGCTGCTACTACTACTACTACTACTACTACTGCTACTACTACTACTACTACTACTGCTGCTACTACTACTACTACTACTACTACTACTGCTACTACTACTACTACTACTGCTGCTACTACTACTACTACTACTACTACTGCTGCTGCTGCTGCTACTACTACTACTACTACTACTGCTGCTGCTACTACGACTACTACTACTACTACTACTACTGCTGCTGCTACTACTACAAACTACTACTTACAAACTACTACTACTAACTACATACTGCTCTGCTGCAAACTACAAACTACTACTACTACTACTACTGCTGCTACTACTACTACCACTGCTACTATATAGAAAGTCGCTTGTTACGTGGAGCATTTCGGGTAAATTAGGTCAGTTTTGTCCCAGGATGTGATCCACACCTGTCAACTAACACCCGGGTACCTATTTTACTGATGGGTGAACAGGAACACGTCTTAATGTTTTCCAGCCGTACCGAAGGATCGATCCAAGGACCTCAGTGTGTGAGTTAGCGCATAGAGAAGCACAAAACCCGTATGGGGTTCAGACGGATCCTGGAGACCGGTAAATTATCAGATCTGGTGTAAGAAAGGGAAGGCTTGCTCCACTTTCGTGGATCAAGAACCCTCCATCGTCATATAAGCAATTTTCTGAAATACGTTGCTACGCCTTTAGTATATGACAGAAACTTAAGTACATGACAGAAGCGTAAGAACATTACAACGCCTTCAAGGAATGTCTGTAGTACATCATTTATCTAACACACAATACACCCACTTCATTTCGCTCATTAAGCACAAGACAAAGCCACAAAAGTTCGTTTGTTTAGCACCAGAGACAACCAAAATGCTTCGTTCAGTTAGCTCAAGACAAAGCCAGAGAGCTTCGTTCATTTAGCTCAAGACAAAACCACGAAGCTTCGTTCTCTTAACACGGGACAAATCCACTAAGCCTCGTTTATATAACACAAGAGAAATCCACAGAGTTGTGTTCATTTTGCACAAGTTTGGTAAAACTCACAGAAGCTGAATTCCCTCAAAACTGGCTCTTGTGTGGCCAACTTGCATGAAAAGAAATAACAAAGAATAGAATGTCATTCTTGGCAGAATTAATGTGTTTCCAGAAATCATTAAGTATGTGTGAGAGAAGGAGAGGGAAGCGGAAGAGGAGGAGGAGGAACATGAAGAGGAGAAGGAGGAAGAGGGCACGTACGCTGCTGATTAGTGCATAGTAGTACGTTGTAGTACATGGTAGTAAGTTGGAGTACATTAACAGAACATGAGATAACATAGGGAGGACATGAGGTAGCATGCAGGGAATATTTTAGAACACAGGCGTTCATAAGATCACATGGGAGAACATGAGAGCCCATGGGAGAATATAAAGTTGCAAGGGAAGTATATGGTGGTACAAAGAAGCACATGAGAGAATACGTCAGCACAGCTGAGTACACAAGAACACACGGGAGTACACAGGAATACGAAGGAATTCACTG